TTCAGAATCCAGGGTTACCCCTAGCACTCTGGCATGCAGGGATAGGTTGATAGTGGTGCTATTGATCCTGACCAAGAAACCAGGGGAAGAGGCACGTGGGGGGGGGAGGAAATATTAGGAATGAGCTCAGTCTGATTTTGGATAGGAAATGATGGGGTGAGTTGATCAGCATAGATTGACAGCTATCAGCTGACCCAAGGAAGAGGTGTAGATCGAGAGAGGTCCAAGGACAGAACCTTGAGGGACCCCGACAGTAAGAGGAGTATTAGAGGAGGAAGTAGAGTTGTAAGTGACACTGATGGTGTGGTGAGATAGGTAAGATTCAAAACAACGGAGAGTACAGTCACGGAGAACAAGTAAATAGAGTTTTTTGAGGAGGACAAAGTGGTCAACTGTATCAAAGGCAGCGGAGAGGTCCAAGAGTAAGAGTACGGAATAGTGACTATTAGTTTTAGCGCTTAGCAAGTCGCTTGTGAGTTTTAGCAAAACAGTTTCTGTGGAGTGCTGTGGACGAAATCCAGACTGAAGGGGATCGAGAAGGTTATTCTCAATAAGGTGGCAGCTCAGCCGGTTGTAGACTAGACGTTCAAGGAGTTTGGAGGTAAAAGGGAGTAAGGAGATGGGTCTCAGGTTGCTAAGATTGGTGGGGTCCAGTGAGGCCTTTTTAAGTATGGGGTGACTAGTTCATGTTTTAGAGAGTTGGGAAATATGCCAGTAGGAAGGGAGAGATTGAAGATATGAGTTAAAGAGTGAAGGATAGAGACAGAGGGTGACTGTAGTATTTGCGAGGGAACAGGGTCCAGGGGACAGGTGGTTAGCTGGGCTTTAGAAAAAGTTTACCAACCTCCTCTATAGTAGCTCGGTTAAACAAGGGAAGTATAGATTGTGCAGGTGGACAAGGAGTGTAGGGTGAGGGAGATATCTGTACAGTGGAGATCTCGTCATGAGTTGTATCAATCTTATTTTTGAAGTGATTAGCAATCTCCTGGGCAATGAGTGAGTTAGTGGGTGGAGGTAAAGAAGGACGAAGTAGAGATTTAAAGGTAGAAAAGCGTTTACGGGGATTGCGTGAGAGAGTGTTAATGAGAGTGATAAAATAGGTCTGTTTGGCAGTGTGGAGACAGGAGTTGTATTTTTGAAGGGCAGATTTATGTTGGTCGAAGTCTTGCTGGGTCTTAGTCTTACGCCATAAATGGCTAAATTGTTTTAGGCATCTGATATTGTCTGTTTTGCAGGGCTGCAGCTGTCAGGGCCTAATTCGGTATGTACTGAGGGGGGCATATATGTCCATGGTGGATGACAGTGAATTGTTGTAGTCAGAAGTGGCTCCCAGGGCAGAGTCCTGGGGCACACCACTTACAAGTCTAGATGAGTCAGAAAACATGCCATTAATCACTCCTCTCTGGATGCGCCCCTGTAACCAGTTTTTTATCCAGGTACATGCAACATCAATGTCAAAAGACTTTAATTTGTAAATTAAGCATTATTGCGGTACTGTATTAAATGCCTTAGGGATATCTAGATACACTACATCCACAGGCCTTCATCTATCCAAATTACAGCCTACCTCCTGATAGAATGGTTAAAGGTTTGTCTGGCAAGAAGAGTTTTTCATAAATCCATGGTGGTTACTACTACTGGTACTATTCTCATCAACAAATTCTTGGCTATGGCCCCTTATCATTCCTTGCAATATATTACATACTATTGATGTCAGGCTGACAGGTTTGAGGTTTCCAGGTGTATATCTTGGCCCTTTTTTTTGATTATTGGTACCATGTTTGCTTTTTGCCAAACAGTTGGTACCATTTCAGTAAGTAAGCTTTCCTTACAAATTGGGAATAATGGTCTAGCTATGACATGGCTATGTACTTTGAGGACACTCAGGTGTAGACCATCTGGTCCTGGTGATTTATTTACATTAAGTTTTTCTAGTCTTTTTACCAACAAACCAGACAGGCATCTGAGATTCTCTGGGACCAGAAGGCCAACAGATGTCCCCTCTCATCATTCTGAGAGGTGTGGGTGCCACAGCACTATGAAGAGGGCTTGATACCAGTCTTGGATGGCTTGGAGGGCCATGACATCTTACAAAGGAAAGTTCCTGTCTTACACTTGGCATGGGAAGCCTCTTCCTTGCTTCATACTTTCAAACTTTCTTGTCTCATAAGGTCATTACTTCTGTACAAACAGGAGAATGTTTTCAAGGTTTCTACTTGAACCTTTTTAAGGTTCCCAAACCTGACAGAAGAATCTGGCACATTCTGTTGTTGAAGACTGTCAGCTTGTTCCTACGGGTTCCAAATTTTCACATTTTAAAATGCCAAATCAGTCATGTCATTGCCTCCCCACATATTTCCTGACCTCGATAAACACCAGGAATTCTTACCTGCATGTGTCCCATCTTCTTGTTAACACTATTGCAGTTTGCATTGGGCGATAAGCATTACCTGTTTGTCACCTTTGCATTGGTCTGTCCCCTGTACATCCCCACTCAGGTTTTCATCAAGGTGTCTGCCTGGCTGTGGGCTCTGCTCCATGCTCAGGGGATTCATATTGCGGGTTACCTGAATGATCTGTTAAAGGACCAGTCCTCCCTGTAAGCCAACATCCAAAAGATAGTACAGACTCTGCAAAGCTTCAGTTAGATCCTCAATCTGATGAAGTCACCGCTGCACTTATCTCATGGATTAGAGTACTTGGCCTAATGTTAAACACCCCTATGAATTTAAACTTAAAGAAAGTGCTAAGAACAAGGGTGCCTTGAGTCTATAAAGATATTTTTTTTTTCATTTTTATTATTGTATACGACAGCTTGAATAATGGGTGCCATGCATTCCCCTTCCTAATTACATTCTGGAACTCAGTTGTCCCTCCAGCATTGGACTCCTCTACAGCAAATACAGTTCAAAAAAATAGCAGTCAGACATCACTAACCTGATCAATCACTGTTTTTGGTAGAAATGATATTTCTACATGGCAAATAATTTACTAGCAGGTGTAGTAGAGTAATAGAAATCCAACAAACCCAACAGTCATGACATGCATGCTGCTGATTCTGTGTAATTGAATCACTAATTGAAAGGGGCATGTTCAAAATAATAGCAGTGTGGAGTTCTATTAGTGAGGTCATTCATTCTTTGAAAAACAGGTGGCAATTATTGCCCTTATTTAAGGAAGGAAGGCAGCAAATGTTGTTGTACATACTGGTTATAGTGCATTTCTCTCTGAAATTCTGAGGAAAATGGGTCGTTCCAGACATTGTTCAGAAGAACAGCGTACCTTGATTAAAAAGTTGATTGGAGAGAGGAAAACCATATAAAGAAGTGCAGAAAATGATAGGCTGCTCAGCTAAAATGATCGCAAATGCTTTAAAATGGCAACCAAAACCTGAAAGACGTGGAAGAAAGTGAAAAACTACCATTCGAATGGATAGAAGAATAGCCAAAATGGCAAGGACTCAGCCAACAATCAGCTCCAGGAAGATCAAAGAACGTCTAAAGTTACCTGTGAGTACTGTTACAATTAAAAGACGCCTATGTGAAGCCAAGCTATCTGCATGAAGTCCCCGCAATGTCCCACTGTTGAAAAAAAGACGTGCTGAAGAGGTTACAATTTGCCAAAGAGCACATTGACTGGCCTAACGAGAAATGGTGCAACATTTTGTGGACTGATGAAAGTAAGATTGTTCTTTTTGGGTCTAGTGGCCAGAGACAGTTTGTCTCCGGCCACTAGACCCCCAAACACTGAATTCAAGCCACAGTACACTGTGAAGACAGTGAAGCATGGTTGCGCAAGCATCATGATATGGGGATGTTTCTCATACTACGGTGTTGGGCCTATTTAACGCATACCAGGGATCATGGATCAGTTTGAATACATCAGAATACTTGAAGAGGTCATGATGTCTTATGCTGAAGAGGAAATGCCCTTGAAATGGGTATTCCAACAAGACAATGACCCCAAACACACCAGTAAACGTGTAACATCTTGGTTTCCAGACCAACAAGATTGACGTTATGGAGTGTCCAGCCCAATCCCCGAATCTTAATCCAATAGAAAACTTGTGGGGTGACATTAAAAATGCAGTTTCTGAGGCAAAACCAAGAAATAGAGAAGAACTGTGGAATGTAGTCCAATCATCCTGGGCTGGAATACCTGTTCACAGGTGCCAGAAGTTGGTTGACTCCATGCAACACAGATGTACAGCAGTTCTCAGAAACAGTGCTTATACAACAAAATATTAATTAAGGGATTCAAAGGAAAGCAAATCTTCAAACATTTTTCAGTTTATATAGTGAATGTTTGCGTTTGTAAAGAAGAATACAAACACTGCTATTTTTTTGAACAGTCTAATATTCACTTTTCTTCAATTTTTTTAGAGGAACAACACAAATTTGATATATTTTTCTTCATGTTTTGATTTGGAATAGAATGTGTAGTGTTTCCAATGCATTTGTGTGTATGGAAATAAAAGCTATTAGAAGGATTTTGAGCTTTATTCACTTTTTTCAAAACACTGCTATTATTTTGAACACAACTGTATACCTGGTGAGAATCCAAAAGGACAATGCCATGGTCTACATTATTCATCAAGGGGGCAACAACGGGAGTCTGCAGAGTGGAAGATGATTTTCTTAGTAGTCAGTGTCTGGATTTGGGGGAAGGGGCTTTCCAGAGGTTTTTTTTTTAAGTCACAGAATGCTGAATGTTGGTCTGGTGTGGCATCCAGATTCAGGCAGGAACACCTTGCAACACACTTGCACATATAATGCAAAAAAAAAAAATTGTTTACTAATTATTATTTTTATTGTGATCTTTTAGCATGTAAATAGCTCAGTTTTTCACAGATGTACACATTTTTAAAATGTGCACACTTTTTCCACTTCGCATTTGTTTAAATGCTAGAAATGTACAGTGTAAAAAATGGGGTCACTGCTAGTATATTCTTGTTAAATAACGAAGCATCATTAGTTTACTGTTCTTCATCTTTTTAACAGGTACAGGTCATGAATTGGAAATCGTAATGAAATGCGCACAATTGGTGGAACGAATGTACACTCATATTGCAGCTAAAACAGAGGAATTCACTGTGTTTTCTGCTTTCATGGTTTCACAGTATGTTAATGAGCTACAGAAGGTATGATCAATGTTTTCTTTTATCTATGTGGAAGTAAATGTATATTATATAGGGCGCGCTTATTAGAGCCCAACCTCTGTAGTTGAAGGATAAAGGTGCCAGATGGATATCAGGGATGGATGAATAGGAGCAATGACACTGAGGCAGCTTTTCTTATGGTGGAAGCAAGGCTGTAATGCAGTAAACACGAAAAAGAGAAGAAGGCGCCTTTAAGTGAAGTATAAACAATTTAATAATGAACAATAGATAAATTGCACTTACAAGATAAATAGTTAAAAAGACTCATTGTGTGGTGTGTTAAGATCCAGGTGAGACATCCAGCCGTCCAGCAACAGCTCAGTACATAGGATCAGTATGTTGCAGTAGGATGTAACACATCCTAGTTCATACTTTCTGATCCTATGAACTGAGCTGCTGCTGGATGGCTGGATGTCTCACCTGGATCTTAACACACTACAGGATGAGTCTATTTAACTATTTATCTTGCAAGTGCAATTTATCTATTGTTCATTAATAAATTGTTTATACTTCACTTAGAGGCGCCTTCCTCTCTTTTTCATGAAGTGGAAGTAAAGGCTATGCTTAAAACCACTGCTTCTCCCTTCCCGTACCTTTGCATTATAGTGCTGGTAAAAAGAAAATTTGTGTAAATACATTTATTCAATCCATTCCAGTCTGGTCACGTGATGCAGAAGCTCTGACTCTTAAAGGATAAAAATGCAACATGCTAGAATCAATAACTATGTAGATTCCTCAATATTGCCAAGTAGTTGGCAGTTATAACATACACAATAAATAATATTAAAAAAAAATCTCATTCAAATTAAGCTTATTAACTACTTGACAACTGGGCAACAGTGTGGTTGTCCAGTTCTGAGAGGGCGTCATATGACGTCCTCCCAGAATGTCCCCTCCCGTGTGACCTCAGCGATCTCCATGATCACTGTGTCCTACGAACACAGCTGATCACGTGATGTGGTAAAAGGCCAATGACACAGCAGATCACCGGTTAAATGCAGTTGCCGGTTATCTGCTGCACTTTCCTCACACTGTCACAACGTGAGGAAAGTACTGTTGATAAACGGCAATTGTCAGAAAACAGATCAGCACTGATGATCAGGGCACTGATGATCAGTGCCAATCACCTGTGCGAATCAGTGCCACCCACCTGTGCCGCCAGTTAGTGCCAGCTCATCAGTACTGCCTGTAAAGGGACCAGACCGCAATGAGAAGAGAGAGGGGAGTGCGGCCGAGCCGCGGCTCCATGAGTAAATGGACACACAGAGCAGCTGGAGCACCCGACAGGAGGGAGAGGCCAGGAGCGTCGGCGGGGGACCCAAGAAGAGGAGGATCCGGGCTGCTCTGTGCAAAAACACTACACAGAGCAGGTAAATATAGACATGTTGTTGTTTAAAAAAAAAAAAAGCCTTTAGAATCACTTTAACCACTTATACCCCCTTCCTGCCCAGGCCAATTTTTCGTTATACTCCAGCTTCCCTGTCCGAACACAAATCGCCGGACACCACCCACTGATCATGTAGGAAATAGACAGCAACAGACTCTTCTTATGACAGGAAGTCAACTCCTTTATTTTTACACAAACACAAGATATACACACAGGGCGGGGGGAAACACAATCAGGAACAGGAAACACATAATCAGCCCGCCCCATCAGTGGTAAGGGCTCACAGGAAACACCCCCCCCCCCCCCCCACCCAACCATGGACAACCACATGGCAGAGAACAAAGGACAATCCCCACACCAATACACAATACTAAGACATTCACATTCACACCCTGTACCCCTTAACAGGCACAGGGTGGGTTAAACATAATGAAGGGAACATGAGCTGACACAGGGGTCCCCCACCCCCAAAAGTCACTCCTGTCACACACCACCCATCAGTGCTGCCTATCAGTGTCCATCAGTGCTGCCTATTAGTGCAGTCTCATCAATGCACATCTGTGAAGGAGAAAAATTACTTGTTTGCAAAATTTTATAATAGAAACAAAGAAAAACTTTTTTTTTTTTAAATTTTTTGCTCTTTTTTTGTTTATAGCACAAAAGTAAAAGACCCAGTGGTGATTAAATACCACCAAAAGAAAGCTCTATTTGTGTGAAACAAAATGATAAAAATTTCATATGAGTACGTTGTTGCATGACCACGCAATTGTCATTCAAAGTGTTTCAGTGCTGAAAATTGGCCTGGGCAGGAAGGGGGTATAAGTGATTAAAGTGATTCTAAAGGCTTTTTTTTAAAAAAATAACAAACATGTCTATATTTACCTGCTCTGTGTAATGTTTTTGCACAGAGCAGCCCGGATCCTGCTCTTCTTGGGTCCCCCGCCGACGCTCCTGGCCACTCCCTCCTGTCGGGTGCTCCCGCTGCTCTGTGTGTCTATTCACTCATGGAGCCGTGGCTTGGCCCCACTCCCCTCTCTCATCTCATTGACTCACTGGCTGTGATTGACAGCTAATGGCTCCCGCTGCTTTCTCAGCCAATGAGGAGATGGAGTTCCGGGACAGCCTTGACTCCAGTGCACATCACTAGTTGGAAAGGGGGCTTAGGTGAGCATTAGGTGGGGCTGGGGGGGGATGCTGCACAGAGAATGTTTTTTACCTTCATGCATAGAATGCATAAAGGTAAAATCCTTGAGCCTTTACAACCACTTTAAATGCATGAAAATTCATTAAATATGAATATTGGTGTTAAAAGCCAATATATGGTGCTAATGATTAAACTGCCAACTTTAAAGATGCTGGATCCAATCTGCAAAGAGAACCAATCCATGCAATGCAAATGAAAGGTGTTCACACTTCCACCATGTGTCCAAAAGAAAAAAAAAAAAAAAAAAAAAAAAAATAATATATATATATATATATATATATATATATATATATATATATATATATATATATATATATATATATATATATACATACATATATATACACACACACACACACACACACACACACACACATATATGCATACACACGCACACACACTGCAAAAGTTTTAGGCAGGTGTGAAAAAAATGCTGTAAATTAAAGATGCTTTCAGAAATAGAAGTGATCTGAGGCAGCCTACATCCACAGAAGGTCTGTGGTTAGTTCTCCAAGATGTTTGGAACAACCTACCTGCTGAGTGCCTTCGAAAACTGTGTGTCTAGAAAAATTGAAGAATTGATGTTGTTTTGAAGGCAAAGAGAGGTCACACCAAATATTAATTTGATTTGGATTTCTTGTCTGTTCCTTTACTTTATATTTTGTTAGTTGATAAAAATAAACTATTAACACTTCAATTTTGAAGGCATTGTGAATTTACAGCATTTTTTTCACACCTGCCTAAAACACACACAGTGTGTTTTAAAAATATCTAAAATGTGTTCTGTAATTGAATGACTGATGCTATAACAAGTCTCTTTTTGCTCAGGTTACACTTCAACCTGCTGTGAAGAAGCATCTCACAGGAGGTATTTTTCACATATTGGACCTGTGTATTGACCGTGATATCAAGTTCCTAAATGCATCCCTACAAATGGGAGTGCGAGAAGTATTCAAAGAACTGTACCAGGAATATACTCACCAACACAAAACAAGAAACCAAGTAGAAGAAAAATATACAGTGTTATAATATACAGTATGTATTTTGCCTTTAAAAATGTACAACTATGATGGGCCATACATATGGACAAAGACATTAGTCAAACTTATTTGTAACTTTTTGTCATGATTCACTGAAAGTGCTGAATTGACACATACAAAATAGGAATCTCGCAGTGGTCTCTTTATTATGATGTAACTATGACTGCGTGGTACAAAACACTAGTTTGGATATAGCAATTATCCTGAATTAGGCCCTGCTCACACTAGAGCCTTTTTGCCATGCTAAAACGAACCTTTTCAGCGCGGCAAAAGTGTATGAAAAAATTCTATTTGTTCACATCTTTGTGCTGTGTTTTTTTAAGTGTGTTGCATTTTAAAAAAGTCTTGCTTGCGGCATCTTTGGGTGCACTGGTTTGAAAAATGCACCTTCCATTATAGTCAACGGAAATGCTCCAAAAAAGCACCATGGTTTTTTTGGGTGCATTTTTTTCTTAGATGACCAGTGCTGAAAATGCATGTAAAATGCATATGCGTTTTGCTAAATTTTAATGCACTGCATTAAAAATGTTAATGCAATGTATTTTTAAAAAAAATGCATATCGCGGTTTATAACACACACACGTGTGAACAAGCCCTTAGTGTATTTTATGTGTACATTTTGTAATTAGTACACATTTTAGAAGTTAATAAAAATGCTAGAAATGATTACAATTCATTGCTTCAACTCAGCCTAAAAATATCTTCAATAAGAACAATAATGTTGTAATTTTTGTGTATATTTTGTATAATAAAAACTGGCAACTTTTGGAAATTCTGTCTCTTTCTGTGAGAGCAGTGCTAGTGCACATCTACAAAGATAAGTATACTAACCTGTCAATAAAATAAAAAATAAAACTTGTATTTAACCACTTGACCCCTGGAAGGGTTTAACCCCTTCATGACCAGACCAGTGTTGCTATTCAGCACCGCACTATTTTACCTGGCAGTTGTGGGATCATGCAACACTACACAAATTAAATTTGTCATTTTTTTTCACACGAATATAGATTTCTTTTGGTGATATTTGATCATCACTGGGTTTTTCCATTTTTATAATAATATAAATGCACTTATGGAGTTGTCCCTAGGTTCATGTCCCACAATAAATCCCATTTGGTCGGGATGAATTATGGAGGGAAGGAGATGTTTCAGCTGGTTGGCGAGGATTTTAGCAAAGATCTTTTTAAGTTGGTGTTAAGCAGAGAGATTGGGTGATAGTTCTGAGGCAGGGTATGGTCCTTTCCTTCTTTTGGGAGGACAATAATGTGTACTAATAAGGCACATGAAGGGATGTGACCTAGGGAGTTAAAGTACCTACACAAATGGGGTTGGAGCAGAGGGAAGAACTTCGTATACTAAGCTTTAGTGAAACCGTCAGGCCCTGGGTTTTTCAGGTGTAGTAGAGTAATAGAAATCCAACAAATCCAACAGTCATGACATGCATGCTGCTGATTCTGTGTAATTGAATCACTAATTGAAAGGGGCGTGTTCAAAATAATAGCAGTGTGGAGTTCTATTAGTGAGGTCATTCATTCTTTGAAAAACAGGTGGCAATTATTGCCCTTATTTAAGGAAGGAAGGCAGCAAATGTTGTACATGCTGGTTACAGTGCATTTCTCTCTGAAATTCTGAGGAAAATGGGTCGTTCCAGACATTGTTCAGAAGAACAGTGTACCTTGATTAAAAAGTTGATTGGAGAGGGGAAAACATATAAAGAAGTGCAGAAAATGATAGTCTGCTCAGCTAAAATGATCGCAAATGCTTTAAAATGGCAACCAAAACCTGAAAGACGTGGAAGAAAATGAAAAACTACCATTTGAATGGATAGAAGAATAGCCAAAATGGCAAGGACTCAGCCAACAATCAGCACCAGGAAGATCAAAGAATGTCTAAAGTTACCTGTGAGTACTGTTACAATTAGAAGACGCCTATGTGAAGCCAAGCTATCTGCAAGAAGCCCCCGCAAAAGTCCCACTGTTGAAAAAAAAAAAACATGTGCTGAAGAGGTTACAATTTGCCAAAGAGCACATTGACTGGCCTAAAGAGAAATGGCGCAACATTTTTGTGGACTGATGAAAGTAAGATTGTTCTTTTTGGGTCTAGTGGCCAGAGACAGTTTGTCAGACAACCCCCAAACACTGAATTCAAGCCACAGTACACTGTGAAGACAGTGAAGCATGGTTGTGCAAGCATCATGATATGGGGATGTTTCTCAGACTACGGTGTTGGGCCTATTTAACGCATACCAGGGATCATGGATCAGTTTGAATACATCAGAATACTTGAAGAGGTCATGCTGCCTTATGCTGAAGAGGAAATGCCCTTGAAATGGGTGTTCCAACAAGAAAATGACCCCAAACACATCAGTAAACGTGCAACATCTTGGTTCCAGACCAACAAGATTGACGTTATGGAGTGGCCAGCCCAATCCCCGGATCTTAATCCAATAGAAAACTTGTGGGGTGACATTACAAATGCAGTTTCTGAGGCAAAACCAAGAAATAGCTGCCAATGGAACTGGTTCTCTTGTATTTATTGATGTGACTGCTGACAAAAGCAGCAGGATGAATTCTGAAGTGTTTTGGGCAATATTATCTGCTCATATTCAGCCAAATGCTTTAGAACCCATTGGACGCCGCTTCACAGTGCAGATGGACAATGACCCAAAGCATACTGCAAAAGCAACCAAAGAGTTTAAGGGAAAGAAGTGGAATGTAGAAGTCAATACACCTGACCTGAATCTGATTGAGCATGCATTTCACTTGCTGAAGACAAAACTGAAGGGAAAATGCCCCAAGAACAAGCAGGAACTGAAGACAGTTGCAGTAGAAGCCTGGCAGAGCATCACCAGGGATGAAACCCAGCGTCTGGTGATGTCTATGCGTTCCAGACTTCAGTCTGTAATTGACTGCAAAGGATTTGCAACCAAGTATTAAAAAGTGAAAGTTTGATTTCTACATCATCTACTATACATGTCTGCAGTCTACAACATCTACTATACATGTCTCCAGTCTACAACATCTATTATACATATCTCCGTTCTACAACGTCTATTATATTTGTCTCCAGTCTACAACATCTACTATACATGTCTGTAGGCTACAACATCTGCTATACACGTCTCCAGTATACAACATCTACTAGACTGTACATGTCTCCAGTCTACAACATCTTATATGCATGTCCTCAGACTGCAACATCTTCTATACCTGTCTGCATCATCTACTATACATGTCTGCAGTCTACAACATCTACCTATACATGCCTCCAGTTTACAACATCATCTATACATGTCTGCAGTCTACCACATCTACCTATACATGCCTCCAGTTTTTACAACATCATCTATACATGTCTTCAGTCTACAACATTATCTATACATGCCTCCAGTCCTCAACATCTACTACACTGTATATGTCTGTAGGCTACAACATCTACTATGCATGTCTGCAGTCTACAACATCTACCTATACATGTCTCCAGTCTACATCTACCTATACATGTCTCCAGTCTACAACATCTACTATACATGTCTCCAGTCTACAACATCTACTATACATGTCTCCAGTCTACAACATCTATTATACATGTCTGCAGGCTACAACATCTATTATACATTTCTCCAGTCTTCAACATCTATTATACATGTCTCCAGTCTACAACATCTACTATACATGTCTGCAGGCTACATCTGCTATGCATGTCTCCAGTCTACAACATCTACAATACTGTACATGTCTCCAGTCTACAAAATCTTTTATACATGTCTTCAGACTACAACAGCTTCTATACATGTCTGCAGTCTACATCACTTACCTATACATGTCTGCAGTCTACATCATTTACTTATACATGTCTTCAGTCTACAACATCTACCTATACATGTCTGCAGTCTACAACATCTACCTATACAGGTCTGCAGTCTCTGACCATCTCCTGTAGCATGCCTGTAGTTTGTGACTAATTTTGCTACATGTCTGCAGCCTCTAGCAACTTACTGTAGCATTACACCCACCAAATATGTGTGGCCCTTAAGTTATGTCAGGGGTCGTACTTCAGACCCCTTAAATAGGTAAGTTGACTACCACTGTTTTAATATGTTGACTTTTTTTCTTGTACATTGTCCAAGAATGTTGTACATTTGTATAGCCATAAATGAACCAGAAATCAGACTATTTCAGATGTGTATCGCTAAAAATAAGCACATGTATGGTGCATGCTTGATTTTCCAGCCACAGTATTCATCCACTCATTTCTAGAAGAAAAGCAGTTGACTTTGCTACTTCTTTTATCTTAACTGTACAGTACAGGACACAGGCTATAGACCATAGGTTATATGCTGCTACCTTCTGGTGATTAGACACTACCAAAGCTTTTGGACAGGCCTCCCTGGAAACCAACCCCCCGCCCCATAATCCTACACCACTGTGTCTGTGAGACCCTTTTTCTATGTCACCTGCCTGCACTTTAGACTATAAACAGTGTGATAATAAATAATATTAACAAACTGGAGTGATGGAGTTGTGATAGTGGAAACTGCAACTCAGCTTGGATATAGTGGTGTCACTTGGGCAGGGTCAGATTTCCATTACTAGTTCCTGCAGGTATACCACCTTTGGTGCTCAACTGGAGCTCATCTGGTTTTTAGAATAGTACAGTAATGTCTAAATAAGCATATATAAGCTGGCTAGAGTTTCTCTTTAAAAGTATTCTAGTATTTTGCATAAAATGTTGTGAAGAGTACATCTCTGATAGACGATGTGGTTGATTTACTAAAGGGGAGAGACAGTTCACCTAATATGCAGTTATGTAATAACTAAAATTCTATTTTCTAATTTTCCTCTCAAATGATTAGGTGTTTAACCACTTCAGGACCGCCCGCATTGTACTGTGGATGGGTGGCTCCTACAGGCACAGCAACGTACCTGTACATCGCTCTCTGCTTCCAGGTTCAAGGTGTATGCGCCCCCCCGACTCCTATTGTGCTTG